ATTATTACTTGTTGAGTAATTTAAATTTGATCTCACTTCTATTGATTGTTGTATACTTTTGGTAGGTTAGTGTATATACAACCGCTTCAAAAACGACCCCATCCAATCCAAAGTGGTATGAAAACCGAATACAGAATAGCAATACTTGTCCATCTCGACTCAACCACAGTTTACGTACTTGAAGTTAAAATAGCCAATAAAGCAGCAACAACGTTACTTAAAGCGAATGGCGTATTCCTTTACTTCACCAAGGAGCCAGTTTGTGTTTACATCGAAGTTTACGTTCCAAAAGAATGATGGGCTAATAACTGTAGGTATTCAAGTTTAGATTAGGCAACACTTGTAACAAACTCTTGTACATAAGGCCATCACATGTAAATGTAATATCGACTTGTGAGTTATAATAATACCAAATATTATTTAGTAAAAAATTCCGTTCCAGAGAAAAAGTTTGTCATATAGACGGTCCGTTATATCGGCTTTTACTGTGTACTGTGGCGGCACAGCATAACAAAGAAAAATCTATACGAACGAACCAAAAAGCCAGGTCCCAAGGTCTCTATTGAAGGCAACTGCAATCCGAAAAAAAATTCTGACATTGCGTCTACAAAATTAGAACACTGGAATAAATCTGAATGTATAATTAGTTTGAATATCCATGTCTAATTTCTTTTTCTTGTATAATAATATTTCTCAAAACAAAACAATACCATTAACTAAAAGTTCTTCTATTAATATAATATACACAAAAGTTACAGCCTAAGTAATAGAATCACGAGGGGCGTAGCCCCAAAAAATATTCCTATTTAACTATCCAATCTACAGCGTTGTATGTTTTATGATAGTCTGCATGTTGCAATTCTTGATGCAATCGCCCGATAACATTATACAAGTCATTCTTTAGACAAACGACTTTTAATGACTTTTTGTCTACTATCTGTATAGTGTTATGGTCGAGAGGTGTTGGCGTGACCAATAGCGTAAGTTTCTATCACAAGATTGTCGCGATTTTATCGGCAAGCCACACTTGTGTGATTAAAGCCTTTGCTTGACGGTTCAATGGCAACGAATCTATGTACTCATTAAGAATGTCGTTGAATGTTTCAAATTGAATATGTCGTTGATTGCATAGTAAGTTAGCGAGCCTGGCTTCACAATTTAGCGGGACCATTGGCTATCTTTTCTTCTTCTTCATTATCACCAGAGAAAACAATAACAAAATAGACACATCAACGTTTTGCACATTAAAAAAATTATCCAAAGAAGTAGTTACTACGTGTATTACTACTAACCCTCAGGATGGGTCAAGACGATATTTGTACTAAACGGGTATTGAAACATAACTTCAACGCCGAGTATAAATATGGTTAATATTTCTGGACAATAGTTTATCCCAACAATTAATTGATATTTTCTGTTGACTATTTTGGGTAAACAATACGATTGCTACACGTGCCTTGTTTACACGTGAACTTTATCGTATCTCACCAATAATAATGTTCGAGAATGCTCTATGCGTTGTACATTTTGTTGTAATCAACAATTAAAGATCACAATAAACTAGTGGGTTAAAGTGAATATTATTATACTTACTAGTAGTGGTGAAAGCTTTTGGTTATTACGTGTAAAGATTGAGCATGTTGTAAGTTTTTAAACTGATTACATTAATTAATTTGTTTGTTATTCCCAATATGCTTGCACATAATGCGTTTGCGGTAATAGTAGTATTGTTATCATCTCGTTACATGGACTGTTTTGTCATTGCACTTTGCTGGTTGTCTACAAGACTAAAAATAAAAATAGCTTAAAAGTGACGTAGTTTTTGTTTGATAATACTCGGAAAAGGCATGGGTATAAGCAAAACTCACACAACCACAAAACTAATGTATCATAGCATGTTACGTACAAAGTAAATATTAATATTGCAATTTGAACACTGTTATATTGTAATGCAACTTCCATTACAATCCTTTATCTCTCATTTATTAACGCTAGCTTTAACATCTTTGTTCAGCTAATCAATGTATGTTGTAATTGTCTCAATATCACATAATACATTCGATTATATTTCTTCGTCGACATGACTGTAAACAGAACCAGACCCTTGATTAATCGAGGGTAACATTGAATAATCCTCTCTCTTACTTAATGGCCATGTTATTTATAAAGACGGACGTTAGAACCAGAAAACAACATAGAAAAACGGTCTTTGTTAACTCGAACAAAGTACCGCGTAATAACTTGCCAAGAGCTTTTACCCGTAATAAAGCTATTGTTAATGTGTCCCGATCAGCGCCGACTCTTGAAACCTGAAAACCCTCTCCAATGATTTCTTTTGTTATCCGTATTTGTCATACCATTTATTGAAGCGCTAAATTTCGGGGGGTTAGTGCCGTACTTTTTGTGCAACTTGCGTAATCATGCGATAATAGTAAAGCTTAAGCTTTCGCAAACCGTTACCTCATTAATATCAATATTAACTGTTACAACTATTTTAACCCTAGCAGATCCAAGATCATACGACAATTAATTTAATAAAAAGCTTTAAGTATAAATCTGACTAGTGACAAACCCGAGACCATTCCTTTTATGGAAATTTATCTGGTTTGTTATCCTTATTTTTACGTTTTGCAGATTGTCCAATCGATCACAAGTGTCACAACCCGCTCGGCCGTATTTAGACATGAACGTCGATGAAGCATATGAAAACAGATATTGTTGATGTGATTTTTACAATTTTTCCCATTTGCTCTTTATTGTTACTTGCTTATTATATAAAACAAACCATCAAGTATGTTCGTATATAAACATGCATGTGCGCCCGAGAGTCCTCTTCAACACCATACCAACAGCTGAAGGTCTTCTCGTTAACACTCAGAGCAGGTCTCTCTACCTTCATTCGTTTCAATCAATACCAAAGGCTTCCGAGAGGCCCTTCTCGAGTGTATAATAAATATATCTTACCAGAATTATATCTGTCCCTTACCATTACATTATTGTCCATTTCGCCATCGTTGCATACTCTCTTCATACTCTCCTACTCCATCATTCCGTACACATATCTCTTTCAAAATGCACTCTTCTTTCCACCTCACTCTCTTCACCTTCTTCGCACTCTTTCTATCTCTCACTCCGCTGGCATATTCTGACAAATACGTCATAACCTCTCCGACGACAACGACAGATTGGGTTGTTGGAACCACTGTTCAAATCCAATGGAACTTTAATTCCACCGACCCTAATGACAACAATCGTACTTTAAAGTTGGAGCTACACCAGAAAACCGGGGCATTGACGGACAAGTTAATGGCTACGATTTCCACTAGTGTGAAGACGGTGGACAAGAATGTTAGTTGGATTGTGACCAGTGGATTGACAACTGCGAATAATTATTACGTGCACTTGGAGGTGAGGAGAAATTTCTTTCGAAATGATATTTGTTTGGCTGATTAAGACAAATTACCAAAAACTAGAAGAGCCTATGCTAACAAACACAAATTCCAATTATTACAAAAGAAAAATCCCGAAAATATAGCAGATTTGTTTCCCGATAAGTCGGACAGTCCTGTATTCCGGGTTCTTGAACAAAATGCGACTACTACTGCAGCGACTCCAACTTCAACTCCGTCTTCGACCGGGCCTAGCTCAAGTGAGTGCACGTATAGCTTGTACGGACGTCTGTTTATGCATTGATTCTGGTCAATGATTAATCGTCTTTTTCAATTCTGTCTTGTTTATCAGCTACTACATTGCTCGTTGTGGCCACTGGAACACCATCTTGTGATCATGTTGCTCAAGTTTGTAATGATTCAGGAAGAGCGTTTATCAATACCACTGAGAGATGTGTGTGTGGTGTTCTCCTGCGCGGCGCCGGGTCATCATTGACCGCGGGAGTAACTGCAATAATGATAATAACCACGATAACTAGTGCTATTACCGCATCTATCTTCACGTGACAATAATGTAAATTTTAATATTTTTCTGGTGAATATTTATTCCTGTACATTAATCATAATATGAGATAATTTAGACGAACCATAATAACACTTCTTCCCAATAAACAAACAATCCTTGCATAAAATGGAACACATCGACAGACAATAAATTATGATATAATACTTTCCCAATCACGTTTATTACCCATGTTTCTCTATATGGTACAAATAATATTTATAAGGCACGAATTAACAAACAATTGCACATTCTATAATATGGTGGGTTTCGTCGAACGTCGCCGTCATCACTTGTAGTTCTAGACGGCGTTCTCCGACGGGATGTTAGCCACCTTATCCATCTGGATATGATCAACGGCCACCGACTTTTTCTTGGACTTTTCGTACCTCGAACCGACATAATTGCGCAAATAGATCATCCCCATCTGGAATACGAACGCAATAATGAAGAATACAAGCAGACCCAAATACCAAAGTGCTGCTTTTGTTGGACCATCATCCCATGAGAGGAAATTATATACCCAGAAATGATCACTAAATAACGACAAAACCCATCAGAGTTAATAAGCAGATTGTATGAAGAAAAACCGAGCATAGATCCGCAAACATCAACAAGTAGAGACAGAAACCCATTCCCCAACTCCAATTACTCCTGAATACTTACACAGCATGGACAACCCAACTCTCGAACATAAACATCAGCAAAAAGGACATGGTTATTATCAAATAAGTCCAATACAAGATCTGCTTATTCAGCCACAGCTCCACCAACATAAACACTCCATCTCCAGCATGCATTGACACCGTTCTCCACCAAGTGATTGCAGGCGTCTTGGATGAAAGATCATCGGCAAGGAATAGCCAGTAGACTAAAGGAACTATAATGTGAAAGTGGATTACTGTATGGTATAGTACGAAATGAACGTAATGCATGAATGATGGGTGTGTTGAGGATTTTGAACCAAGATACACGGACAGCTGGACGTTGAGATGTTTAAAGGAAAAAGTGCTTCATTGAGTAAACTTTCTCGGCTCTATTAAAAGAATTACTTGCTCACACCTCCTGTACTCACCAAAAGATAAACTGTCAATCCAAGGTAACTTAAATTAGTAAAGTAGGCAAATATTTTATCATTCTTATCTACTATATACTGCACTATAGTCGCAGTGAATACAATCGTGCAATATATTGCCATCACTAAACGGACGACAAAAAGCGTCTTTGGAGAAACAAAGTAGGATGTAAATGATAATGAAGGGTCATATGTATCTGTGTGGAAAACACTAGTTGCGCAGGAGCGCTTTGCTGAAGACTGAGTCATGGTGGCGTCTGCTGGACAAGGAGCGGAATTGGTACTGGAAAGTGATATGGAAGAATCGGATGATAGAGGAGTTGTAAGAAGAGTATATTGTTCTGACGCCACTACGCAAGAAGGGAGAAATGAATGTAGGTTTTGAAGGAAAAAAAGAGGTATTAAAGAACATTATAAATTGCCAAGCAATCTCGGTTTATGCAATAAATGCTAATGGTATGAGCATGTCGTGCAACCTCATATTTGGAATTGTTTGGTTTCAAAGCCTGGTTTCTATTAATAAGCTACAATATTTGGTGTTACGTTCGAATAAGACAGTCGTAAAAAGGTCAGGAGTCGCTGCTTTCTTATTCAAGAGAATTTAAAAGACTTTGCTTGTGACTAACTGGAAGGAGAAAAAATTGTCAAGCTATACTTTTAAACAAATACGCATTACTCGCAGTAACTTTTGCTGTTACGCTAATAGGAATAGACTACATACCTTAAATTAGTTTGTTACACACGAAATTCTAGCGGGTTAGCTTATTGTTTTTTAATATATTATTGTTTTTTGCGAGGAACTTTATGCTACCTTGTCTGTTTTCTGAAAAACAAATTTGATGCTCATTTTTTAGTTCGTATGCCTCTAAGACAAGGTATAAACGGGGATTCAACAAAAGGATAATCAAAAGAGTCTCATTGAAATTTTGAAAAAGAGAATTCGCAAAATTGTTCCAAATCTTAATGTAATAAAAAATATATATTTAGTCTATAGGCCTAATTTTGACGAATTTACCCCTTAATTTTGTAGTGCATTTTTAAGGTTATTGTTATTATTATTATGCTATCTGCACTTTGGCCATTGATAAAAAAGATTTGCCTTATTTTGAATTGAAAATTGTAGCAAAAACAGGTATGTACGAAAAATAATTAGTTTTTTTTTTTTTGTAAATTTACGCTATCGAGACCATGTTAGAGTCTCCCTATTATTAGACGCTATTTTTTCTCATATTATTCCGAACCTAACGAGCCAAAAATCGATGAGCTGTTGAAGAGTAATGATTTTAAAGACAGGCGCTTGACTCGATAATATTATTTTCAAGGCAATTTTTACTATGTTATGGTCAATTTGTTTATTAAGGTGAACATTTTATCTAGTCTTTACAATTTCAATAAACTACATTTGCAAAAAAAATTTTGCCTCTGAACGAGTAATGTACATGTAAATTAAAATGTTGAATAATTTAATTTAAAATTACTTTACGCAAAGACAGTGCAAGATTAAGCGGTTTGAGGCATTTTTTTTACAGCGTATCTATTAGTATTACCATCAACAGACAGTTGACAATACTAAAGCGCAGTACTTTGTAACTTATATTGACAATGATCTGCAGACTGTGGAATTACAGTTTATACAACAATAGCCACGGATCTGAAGTTTCTAACAAACCATATATGGTGGGTATACGTGTATTCAGTAATACAGGTGATTTTGTCAGTAATCAAAATTCGTCAAGTCTAAAAGCGTGTGAATAAGATCTTTCATTTGTTAACAGCTACCAATTTTTATCTCGATTTTAGCAATAAGTTTTTGATCTAGTTCTTGCAAGTTTAACCTTTTCCACTAAACGTTGGAATTTAGTTTTAACTTGTTTGGCAACTTAGGTGGAGGTTTGCCTAGGTAAATTTTCAAACTGTTTTGTTTTTCTTCTACTAGTTTTTCATTAAGATTTCTAAAGTTTGTTTTTTCAGCAAGTTTTCCAACAAAATCAAGCTGTGGTTTTTTGCTATCAAGCTCTTCTTTCAAGTCATTCACTGCTTTTTTGTGATTAATTCTAGCTAATTCACCAGCATATTGCATAACCTCAATATGAGTTTGACCTTTACTTCAAGCTTCTTTAAGTTCTCTTTGTAATCATTTATTGGATTCTTCTAACTCTTGGTTAGTTTTTTCTAACTCGGCATTCTTTGTTTCAGAAGCATTTGCTTTTCCTTCGGTTCCTTAAAATAAAGATCAAAAAATTGCTCATAATATCGTGCTTCATTAGCAAAACATTCTTAAGAGTGAATTCATCGTTGAAACTACTCTTCCAAGTTCGGCTAAATTCTTTTCTGGATAACTTGCTCAACCATTTTTAGGTCATTTAGATCTTTGTAAAATTTTTAAAGTAGAATGTCAGGATCGAGACCTAAGTACAACGTATTCCTCCGTGATTTCCGCTCAGTGGTACTCCAAGTCAGAAATTGCGCAGGACAACTAAAATTAGCCGTCCCAATATATCGAAATTTCAAGACAAACACGAACTATCCCCATTTATCCAATAATCGGGACAATTTAGTGAAACAATAATTAGTTATAAATACGAGTCGTAGATAGCAGCTAAAAATTATCTTTAGTTAGATCTTCAGATCATTCAGTAAGACGTTGCTATTAGATAGTTGTGATGCGCCGCAATCAGTGACGTATTTTTTCCTCTATTTCTGCGTTTCTCCGACGATACCGCAGCACATTTCAATCGGCAGTTACATCAGCGCAGCTGCGGAAATCAGTAACAGTGGTACAATAATTTCAGGGTGCAGTGGTACGAGGATTTATATGACAGTAGTACGGTCTCACTGCTGTACCACTGCAGTATCACTGCAGCATCACTGTCGCGTCACTGCAGTCTCACTGTTATAGTGATGCAAACGCAGTTAATCGTATACCAGAAGAATAGTCAAGAATATTAGAAACAGCGACTAAAAATAGCTCAATTAGACCGATCGAAAGATATATAAGCAGTAGGAGTTTCAGCTAGAGTCGGTGTGTTA